AGAGTAAATAATCGAATTTTTCAATATTAGATAAATGAGGTTTTTCATGAACTAAATTATTAAAATGGTCTATAAATGAGCGAAAATTTCTATAATCGCCACTAAATTTCTTTAATTCAATCACCGGCAAACGAATATGAGATGAATTTGGATCTATATGAAAAAGTGTAGAATTATGCAAAGCAGTATTTTGATTAGCGTTTACTGGTTGAGTATCAGATTCAAATAATTCCGAAAATAATGCTTTAATCTTATAAAATTCTTCTAAAAACATTTCTTTGGTAGCATCTTCGCCCCCAGCATCTTCAGGGATAGCAAACAATGTGGCAAGAACATTATTATGATGTTTAAAAAAATCCTCTTTAAGACTATCAATATCTGCGCACCTTACTTTAAAGACATTTTTGAATGATTTATTACTATTCGCTTTATCAGCGAGCATACTAATTACGTTTATTTCATTTAAGCAAGAAGTTCTTAAAGTTTTATATTTAACAAGTTTTTCAACCATTGTAATAAATTAAATAAATCGAATCGCAAGCAAAACAAAATTAAAACCAAATTTATTTGTATCAGCTGATCAAAAGGCAATATTAATGTAGCGGCAGCGGTATCAAGCTCACCTCGATACGAAACACGGCGAAAAGGCGGGCGATTTTTCACAAATTTCAAAAATAACGAAATATACGGTAGCGGAGTAAACGACAAAGCGGTGATTGATAAACAGAGCGACAATTAGCGAAAAGGCGATAATAATAATAAATGAAGGCCACTTGAAGGCCGATTGATTGGAACCTGTGTACACTACCGATGTCGAACAACTTGAGCACGACTCGACTAAAAAAATGACCAATATGTCTACCTGATAAATTTTACAATTAACTCAATAAATTTAATACTTATTGAAATAATATTGTATGCAAACTAAATGATTTTTTTTTAGTAAGAACTGATTAATTTTAGCAGATATGCTATAATTTTGAATAGCGCTTTTGATAATTTAAAAAATAAAGAAAATTTTAAATCGAATTTTTCGCAAAAAAAAATCCCACAGTTATAATAATGCAACAATTTAATTCTAACTGTTATTAAAGTACTCGAAGGACCAAAAAAATGTAATAGAATGATTGGAATATTACGTAAAAAAGGGGCTGATTGTAACAGTCGAAAAAAATAAGATAAACGTGTCTCAAACGCGCTTACCTTCTGTGCTGCATCATATGGTTCGTCGGATGAAGTAGGTGGTAGTATTAGTCCAGTAGCCAAGACCGGGCCCGGTTACACAATTTATATAACAACGTTTATTATACAGGATTTATAATAGCGGATTTAACGGCACATACACACCACATGGCGTTCGTCGCGGCAATTTCTGTAGTACTCTTCGTCCAACGGCGTTTCACTTGTCTTACAGTCAGACGAAGCGCATGTGTGGGCCAAAGTTTTAAGTAAGCGATTTGAGACAAAGCGCGAATATTTAAATAATAAAATAGGAATTAATTCATTCTGGAACAGAAGCTATACAGACGAAAAAAAATTTTAAATAGCACCTTTATATTTTCTCATAATGGCGATTTCAAAAATGGTTACAAATATGTCTGCTTCAGGAAAAAAACTTTAAAGTTGCAGAAACTAAAAATATGCCACTTTGTAGTTACTTTCATCAAATAAGTCGCAGCTGGAACTAATCCAAAATATTTTTCACCACTTCAAAGTGGCAGTTACGTGGCAGCCACCTAGTGTTTGCCACCATAAAGTTAATTATTTACATTGTTGCCAGATCAGCCATTTCTCCACTTATTTCAGAGTTTTTGAGCTGTTCAATAAGGCCATTGTCAGGGGGGAAAATCAAATATACTTTAAATTACAAATATGTCATCCATCAAGGTAATGTAATTTCAAAGCAATTTTAATCTTGAATAGCGTAAAATGGCTTAATCAAATATTAAGGTACAGTATATACCGTTTGTTTATCTTAATAGTAATTTCTAGTAAAGCCTTATAACTTATGTATTTAATAATTTATTTTATCTCTTTTAATAAACGTTTTAAGTGCCGTTCTAAAAATAACTGAACACCCTGTACAAATATAGTGTACATTCAAGAAGATTATGAAAAAAAATTGCATACTATATCTTCTCAGGGAAATTACGCCTTGATGATATCGCAACACTGTATTAGTTATATATAACCTCAAAATTTACTGTAGATTTCGTCGGTTAAATTTGTTTATGTAACAGATCACTTAAATTAATGTATTTAATGTTTTATATTGTGTTTGTGTGCCAACCTTAGATTTAGATATGAGTTTTAAAATTGTATCGACTTAAGAAAAGAGGGGTGTTTGTTTCTGCGTTGTTCCTGACGAAGGAATCTTATTTTGGCCAGGGGCCCAATTCTCGAAAAATGCGTTAACTGCCGCATGCGCTAAGTAACGCATGGTCGTTAACGCATACGACAGCAATTTAGTATTCCTGAACACCATGCGATAATCGCGAATCAAGTCGAACGTGTTAACGAAGAGTCTTTGATTATTGCATAGTCTTAACCAATGAGGATTGAGAATACCAAAGATGGAATCACTGAATATGAGATAATTGCATTGACATATGTCAAAATTGCCAAAAATGCAAAACTTATAAAATTAAATGGATTGCAGATGTCTAATAATTTTTGGTTTTTGGATGTTTTAACTGTGATTATTTGTATTTTGGACTTGAGAATTGGAGTGGTTTAGATTTAGAATATTAAAAATGGAACAGCGTGGTTCACGAATAACGGAAAAACAGCGTGAAACTTTAGTAGAATTTATAACATTGTTTAGTGCCTGTAAAACTCCTATAATAAAGCAGGATTAATTGACAATTATAACAGAGACAACCACATACAAAAGAAAATCAAAGTATGTGGAGACAACCCTCTGTTTATAACCTTACTTTCACCTTAACGAATGCGACAAAGTGGTTGTCGAACGGTCATGAGCGCTCTTTGAAAATCACCATTTTTTAGCGCATGCGTTAATAAATTTGACGAATGCCGTCAGTTCAGGAATACACTTTCATCAAGTCGCATACGTTATCGCATGCGATAAGTTAACGAAGGCGTCAGGAATTGGGCCCCAGGCCATTTACATTTTTCACAACGAGAAACGTTGAGGCGAAATCCAATAAGAAAACAACTCTGAGAAATTTTACATTTTTTCTGTTCCGACAACAGCTGCTTGTTCACTACAGAGTAATAATGTTTAAGAGTTTTGGTATCATTCATTTGTTGTTTAAGTTGTCTACTAAAAGTTGTCGAATGTCGAAAAGTAATCTTTTGCACTCTAGATAAGTCTAAAAACAAAGTAATTTGCGCACAGATCGACGACACTTTGGTAGTTTTTCTTTATTTTAAAGGCGGACAATGTGGAAATAGGCTACTAATAGGCAACGGTTACTCCATTGTGAATTTTGAAGGTAATAGTAACTTTAAAGTGGCATTTGTTCCACGCAATATGTGGAAATCACTTAAGAGCGTCAAAAATGTGGCAAGAGCTACTGCAGTTATACAATCAAGTGCCGCCACTTTAATGATATATTTATGGTTGCCGAAACGTTACTAAAACTGTCAAACCCACTTTAAGATTACTGCCACTACTAGATGGTATTTAGGTGATATGATTTGGTGGCCGTAACTACTATTTTCCACATTCAAGTTTGTGCAACTTTAAAGTGGTCCCGCTTAGTGGCTATAACGTTTCAAACACCTTCAGAGACAACTAAATAATATAAAACTTTGAAGTGATTCCTAGTGGTAAAATACACGTGGCTACAACTGGGAAAATATAAAATGAAGTTATTCTAACTATATATAGGGATTACATTTAGTGATTATAACGTAATAATCACTTAAGCGAAGTGGCGATATAAGTTTCTGTCACTATAATGCTACTTGAGATAAGGCTTTTTGTTCAAAACAAACATGATCACGATCCTCCAGTAATTTTATTTTGGTCCAAAAAAATAACAAAATGCCTTGTGTTGGACTAACAAATGTGTAGAGGGGAAGAATTATTGCTCTTATTGAATAAAGAATGTCCCAATGAGACATAGCAGAGGTAGTAGGTGATACCCAGGATGTTGTATCGAAAACATATGAAATGTACTTGGAACTAGAAACTAGAAACGAGCCCAGACAAAGTCGTCAAAGGGTCACAACTGAACAACAGGACCGCTTTGTGTGCCAAATTGCTAAAAGAAATCCCAGTGTTTCTTATCCAGAGCAACAATGACAACTTCTGGAAACTACAGGTGTGAACGTTTCAGTTGAAACCCTAAGAAAAAGACTTCGCGATGGAGAGAGTTACTGGTCCCACCGTTATCTAGGATGAGACCAGAATTGGCCTAAGATCAGATGACTATCGAATTCGAGTTCTCAAAGCTCCAGGAAGATGAGCGAGACCACGCTGCCAGATCTGTCCCAAAATATCAAGGAGAAAAAAATACCATTGTTTTTATTTGGTCAAATAATTGATTTTTTTATTGCCATATGGCTTATTTGTCATTTAAAGTTTTTGGTAACGATTAAGTGTTATTCATAGACTAAAAAATATTGATAAATCTTAAAAATTATGAAAAATAATAGATTATTCCATATAAGTTTGGTTGTGTGTATTAATCAAACCGATATCTAATTATGAAAGAAGAAAAATTAATTTTGAATGAAATTGTACCCATATAGTGATCCACAAAAAATTATTCTAAAGTAGGCCATGAACGACAAAGACAGAGAAAAGAAAAAGAATTGTATGCTCCGACATAAGTGAATTTTTTCAAGGCCTACTTTAGAAATTATTTTTTGATCACTCTATATTTTAATTAGTTAGGTACATATTTATAGACAAATCGACGACACAATAAAAAAGGAAATGTAAATATTTAATTTTCAAATCCTTTTTTGTTTTATCTTTTTTTATCTATTATAACGATGAACAGTATAACTTTTTTATAATATTTTACCTCCATAGCTTCAAATGTTTGATCCCAGTTTATTAATTTTAGTACCATATCTTCATCAATATAAATCATCTTGTTTGTTTCGTGAGATTCTACTCGTATGTTATCAACTCATTAACAACACACAGTGAACTGTGGAACTGATTCTGATTACATTTACTTGATAATTCTTTAGAGTTCGAATCCAACAGAAAGTTCAAAGATATATTTTCTTTATTGTATTGATATATAAATTTATCTCACAGTGGCGTATCGCTAAAGTAAAGAGATTTGATTTTAGAAAATAAAAGAATCATTTAGCCTAGAAATTACGAATCTATATTAATAGTACGTTATTACATTTTACACATTTATCAAAAAATAGGACTTAAAGGTATAATAGCTCGTCATCTGACTGAAAAATGTGGCACGTCGTATTTTTTGCTTGATATTTATAATTGGGTACAAGAGAGGTGGGGCGAACAGTATGTATTATGTTCTGGTTGTGGGAGCTGTCCTATGACCTTTCAAATTAAAAGTAAAATCTTTTATCGATGGATTTTTCACTTTTTTATTGGCAATGACGTCTAGACGTCAATAACATTAAAAATATCTCTTTGCAAGCGTTTTCTGTCGTCCAGTTTTACTACTTCCGGTGTAGGGATTTCATTCACGGGAACCGTTTAGACTTCCGTATAACAAAGTCATCATCACTTTCAGGTTCACTAGTTTCTGATGATGGATACATGATGACTTTAGTTATTCTTGGCAGCATTGCTTTTGTTGGAGCAAAATTAAAACAGCTTTGGTTAAATTTGAATTAAATTTTCTGTTAATCGCTTAAATGCTGTACATTTGCATATGGTAATAATCTTATTACCGAATAGCGTATTTTGGCACGTATTACCGTATATACACACAACTAAACGTATATGGAATCACTGTGTATTTCTGAATAAACTTTTTGTAAGAAAAAAATTGGTATCCAACTTTAAGATAAGACTTTTTGTTCAAAACAAACATGATAATGAAGAAGAAATGCTTGCTGCGATTTATTATCTTGTGAATTTTGTGTTCAGAAGTAAAATCACGATCCTCCGGTAATTTTATTTCGGTCCAAAAAAAAAAAACAACAAAATGCCTTATGTTGGACTAACAGATGCAGAGGGGAAGAATTATTGCTCTCATTGAACAAGGAATGTCCCAATGAGACATAGCAGAGGTAGTAGGTAATACAGAGGATGTTGTATCGAAAACATATGAAAGGTAATTGGAACTAGAAACTAGAAATGAGCCCAGACAAAGTCGTCAAAGAGTCCCAACTGAACAACAGGACCGCTTTGTGTGCCAAATTGCTAGAAGAAATCCCAGTGTTTCTTATCCAGAGCTACAATCATGGGCGTAGCCAGACTTTCTTTCAGGGGGGGCAGCATGAGTGCCAGCCTTGACAGCCTTTACAAAGGGGCGTGGGTTTGAGGTGACAGAGTTTTAAATAAATATATTAAAAATAATTAATAATTAAGATTTAAAATAAACTCGGAAATAGAAACTAAACCGAAACCGGTTTTAAAAAAGTGACAAGAAATAAAAGTAGAAATTTCATTTTATTAATGATTTGCAGATGCAATACAAAAAATTGAATACAAAGTCTACAATAAATTTAACATTCTTGTTTTCTTTTCAGCGAATTTTTTTAAAGCCTTTTCTCGAAGTTTTGGTCGTTCGATAGTAATTTTCTGTGTAGACTGATCATGCACAGTTCACTTAATCTTTCATGGGCCACTGTGGACCTCAACCAGGTTTTAACTCTCCTAAGGTTGCTAAACGTCCTCTTAATAGAAGCAGTTGTACACGAGAGTGCCCAGCAAATCATTATTGCTTTCTTAATTGCTAAGTAAAATTCGGTCTTAGCTAAAACGGACACGAAGTCGAGGTTAGTGTCTTCTTTATCCTTTAAAGTCCAGAACCGGTGCCACAAATCTAATTCTCGTACTAAGTTTTTTAATATGATAAATGTCGGCTATTGCTGCTCCGAAAGCTTGCAAGATGTCTACAGATGACACTCTAACTTTGGTGGGGTGAAGATTCTGTAGTTTGAACGCTGGTCCTTGCTTCCCGCTGAAACGCTCCTCCAAAGAATTACAAAAAGAATCTTAGTAAGGTATTAAAACAGATATTTTGAAGTACTGTTCAGGTGTTAACACTGGTGGGTTGGCACGGAATGACTGTTTTGTTGCTAATCGGGGCACACCTATTTCTACATCCAATTCCATGCCAATTGCTTTCATCTCATTCATGATAGCTTCCACTGTCTTCTCCGCTTTGTCACGATGTTCACCTACTAATTCCACGATATGTTCGATTTGCTCTGAACATTTAACCAAATATATTGCAACTGCCTGTAACGAATTTACCACAGGTTCTAAGTAACAAGAGTATTTGGCAATCAGACAAAGGCAAAATATTAAAGTGCTCCTCGTTGAAGCAGCATGCAGCTGATCTGCTTGTTTATAGCTTGTTGCATTTCCTTTAGTCGCTATCAGTTGAAGTCCTTTTATAATGGCTACACAATTTTCCTTAAATATCCGTAAGCTCTTGTACTTCTGCGACCATCGCGTTTCACATAAAAGTGGTATTGTAGGAGCGTGTGCCCTTCTAAACGGCGATTCCAGAAAAAAATTGGTTATGTCTTTGACTGTAGCAATCGTGTTTCGTACTTTAGAGACCTTATTTAAATCTTTAACACCAAGATTAGGTTTTTGACTTGCACAGTGAAAATACACTCCTTTTGGAAAAAATCGCGTAGACGTTTTTGCACCTAATTGTCTTTTCTGGCCATTGTCGAGCAACTGTCATATCCTTAACCGACTTATTTGTCGAGTACTTATTGCCGTATTAATTTTTTGAAATATTATTTGTCGCGAACACACTATAGATGGGCAATATCGTGCATTTCAAGTATCGAGTAATATTTGTTCCTGTGACATTTTAAATATCTGTGATATTGTTACGTTATAAAATAATTAATAAATATCTAAATAAATAAATTAAATGACGCCCAGTATATTATAAAATCCATCTAACAAAATATTTTAATTATCAGCAGTTTATTATTATCTAAACAATTATTCTATATTGAAAACACCGTGCGAAATGCGAGAAAAAGAATGGATACGGAGTTATGCTGGCTTGGGGCGTCGGCCTAGGGGTTAAGTTAAATTAGATAAAAAGTTAGGTTGTGTCTAATCAGTGAACAAAGGGTGCCATCAAAATAATGTGAGTAGATTGTTCTTATTTTATTATATCTATATTTTTGATAGTGGAAAATATAATTGGTTTTTTTGTAAGTGTTCTTATTTTTCTGTGTTCTCCTCCAACCCTTTCTGGTAGTTAGTGGCTACGTTGACGGGGTTAATAGCACACCCCGTAATTTCGTGACAAAAGTGACAGCAAATCAAACGAGCAAAATTTTTCTACTACATACAAATGAAATAAGGGTAGAAATACTAATATTCTATCGAATCTAATCATCCTTCTTTCTAGTCGAAACACAACTACTGTTTCAAAAGAAATTATTGAGATATTAGAAAATGTATTGGAACTATTGGAAATTACATATGAGAAGTGATTTTAAAATATTTTAAAGCTTGCGGCGAATGAGCAGGGGGAGGCAGCTGTCCCCTTTGCCCCTCCCTGGCTACGCCCATGGCTACAATGACAACTTCTGGAAACTACAGGTGTGAACGTTTCAGTTGAAACCCTAAGAAAAAGACTTGCGCTCGAGGGTTGTACAGTAAGAGAGTTACGGGTCCCACCGTTATCTAGGCTAAATAAAATTGACCGGCTAAATTGGTACCTTCAACACCAAAACTGGTCAATTGAGAATTGGGCAAAATGTTTTCTTTCGGATGAGACCAGAATTGGCATAAGATTAGATGACCATCGAATTTGGGTTCTCAGAGCGCCAGAAAGATGAGCGAGACTCCACGCTGCCAGGTCTGTCCCAAGATATCAACAAGGAACTGTAATGTTCTGGTGAGGTATTATGCTGGGAGCAAAAACTCCATTTTTACCACTTCAACAAACTTTAACCGGTCCGAGGTATGTTGATTTAGTGCTAGTTCCAATCGTTAAGCTTTGAAGAGCTGTAATTGGGGATAATTTTTTCTTTAAGCACGATAATGCACTTCCCCTTATCAGCAGAGTGGCTAAAGAATTTCTTGAAACGAAAGGTGTTACAGTTTTAGACTGGTCTTCATGTTCACCAGACCTAAATCCTATCAAACACTTGTGGGACCAGCTCAAAAGAAGGGTTAGAGCTCGTCGAAACAATGCAGGAAATGTCGCACAGCTTATTGATGCAGCATTAGTATAATGGGATAACAAACCCCAAAACAATGTTGACAATTTAATAAGGCACATGCCAAGGCGAATAGAAGCTTGCATACCAATTTTCTTTTTGTTTTTGCTTTCCGGCTATTAAAAACTTAAATCTCATGTCGTATCAGAAACCAAAAAAATACCATATTGTGTTTATTTTGTTAACTAATTGATTATTTTTATTGCCATGTGGGTTGTCATTAAAAGTCTTTGGTAAGGACTGAGTATAATTCATAAACAAAAAATGTTCATACATCTCAAAAATTATGAAAAATTTTAGATGATTCCATATAAGTTTGGTTGTGTGTAAATACGACAATTACGTCTCAGCGAGTGTGACGTTGTTCCTTGAGACCGTTTTTCATGAGACCTGTATAGCGCTGTACGCGGCGAGGAAAGTCTCATCGTGAATGGCCCGTCAAGTATTTTCCAACAAAGAGATCTTGTGCCTTTCTCAGTCATGAATAATTTTGTTTGAAAAAAAAAATGTCGTGGTAAATGGTATAAGAAAATAGATGATAAAGAAAAAATCAGGCAAAAGTATACATTTCAAAAAGAAAATACATGTTATTACTTTAAAAATAATCTTAAATGTATAAGAAGTGCACACAACTGCAAAAACAAGCTTTAGTTGGCAAAGTTAACACTTCTCTAGCGAACTGAGTTTGATCACTAGATTATACGAGCTAATTCTAAAATAAACACAACCATGCTTGAAACAATACAAAAAGAATAGATACAAAATGTCGATTTTAAGGTATTTAAAGATAAAGTTTTAGCTTGAAGAGATTGGCTCGTTTCGGCTAGAGTCATAGCTTTTTTAAAGTTTCTGTCAATGTCA